GAAAATGGGGGAAAAACGGGGGGAAAATGGGGGAAAATGGGGGAAAAACGGAGTACAACTTCGGCAGGCACCTCACCGACCAGTACCGGCCAGGTAACGGGGGGAAATGGGGAAAAACGGGGGGAAAATGGGAAATGGGGAATGGGAAATGGAGCACAACTTGGGCAGGCACCTCACTGACCAGTACCGGCCAGGTAACGGGGGGAAATGGGGAAAAATGGGGGAAAATGGGGGAAAAATGGAGCACAACTTTGGCAGCCATCTCACTGACCAGTACCGGCCAGGTAACGGGGGGAAATGGGGAAAAACGGGGGGAAAATGGGAAATGGAGAATGGGAAATGGAGTACAACTGGGGCAGCCACCTCACCGACCAGTACCGGCCAGGTAATGGGGGAAACGGGGGGAAAAATTGGGGAAAATGGGGGAAAATGGGGGAAAAATGGAGTAGAACTTGGGCAGCCCCTCACCAACCAGTACCGGCCAGGTAACGGGGGGAAAATGGGGAAAAATGGGGGAAAATGGGGGAAAATGGGGAAAAAATGGAGTACAACTTGGGCAGGCACCTCACCGACCAGTACCGGCCAGGTAATGGGGGGAAAAAGGGGAAAAATGGGGGAAAATGGGGGAAATGGGGAAAAACGGGGGGAAAATGGGAAATGGGGAATGGGAAATGGGGCACAACTTCGGCAGCCACCTCACCGACCAGTACCGGCCAGGTAACGGGGGAAAAACGGGGAAAAATGGGGTAAAAATGGGGAAAAAATGGAGTAGAACTTCGGCAGCCACCTCACCAACCAGTACCGGCCAGGTAACGGGGGGAAATGGGGAAAAACGGGGGAAAAATGGGGGAAAATGGGGAAAAACGGGGGGAAAATGGGAAATGGGGAATGGGAAATGGAGTACAACTTGGGCAGCCGCCTCACTGACCAGTACTGGCCAGGTAACAGGGGGAAAATGGGGAAAAATGGGGAAAAAATGGGGAAAAATGGGGTAAAAATGGGGAAAAATGGGGAAAAATGGGGGAAAATTATAAAAAATGGGGAAATATGGGAAATGGGGAATGGGAAACGGGGCACAACTCAGGCAGCTGCCTCACCGACCAGTACCGGCCAGGTAACGGGGGAAAATGGGGAAAAATGGGGAAAAATGGGGAAAAAATGGGGGAAAATGGGGGAAAATGGGGGAAAAATGGAGTACAACTTGGGTAGCCGCCTCACCGACCAGTACCGGCCAGGTAACGGGGGGAAATGGGGAAAAATGGGGAAAAACAGGGAAAAAACGGGGAAAAATGGGGTAAAAATGGGAGGGGAACTAGGGAAAATGGGGAGGGAAATGAGGGAAAATGGGAAATGAGAGGAAAATGAGAGGGGAATGGGGAAAATGGAGAAAATGGGGGGAAAATGGGAAATGGAGAAAAAATGGAAAAAAAATGGAAAAAAAATGGAAAAGAAAATGGAGAAAAAGGAAAAAATGGGAGGGGAGATGGGGAAAAAGGGGAAATGGAGAATGGTGGGGGAATGGAGAAAGTGGGAAAAATGAGAGGGAAATGGGAAAAATGGGAAATGAGAGGGAAAATGGGATGGGGAGAGGTGATAAGGGAAGGGAAG